CCCCAAAACCCCAAAACCCCAAAACCCCAAAACCCCAAAACCCCAAAACCCCAAAACCCCTGGGGATTATTTTAGTATTGAATTTTTGGGGTGAATAATGTTTGGAGTCGCTTTTTATGAAATGTGGAGGAATAGTTATTCTGCTGTTGATTGGGATAGCGTGTTGTAGAACTCTTCCATGCTGATCTTTCCGTCTCCGTTATGGTCGAACACTCTGAGTAGCGTGTTCACTTCATGGTCACTCAAGAAAATGTTCATGTCTTTGAGTCCGTCTTTGAACTCATCAAAAGAGATCACTTCGTCTGCATTCTTGTCAAGCTTCTTCATCAGGTGAATAACATATTCTTGCAGAGACGAGTACGAGTAGGCACCAGATTTAATCTTGTCAAGGATCGCATCAATTGAAGCCTGAGGGAACACCTCTGCGTTGTCTTCCATGTACTTATGGGTATACTCGTCGCAGTCATTGATCTGGAACCTGAAGGTGTTCAGGTGGATCGTCTTGCCAATTGCAAAATCTCTTTCTTGGTAAAGCTTCTTAGAGAATGGGTTCTTGTAGGGCTTTCTCTCAAGGAACTTGCCTCCGACTCTCCCGCTGTTTCTGTCTCAGACTTCATAAACTTGGATGGTATCGTCTCCGCAGTAGAATGCAATGATGAATTTTCTGTTTTCATCGTCTGGCTCAGTGGAAACAAGTCTTGCGTCGAACCTCAAGATGTGCATGTCATTCTTGAAAATCTTCTGCTCGTCTTTCTTTGGAGGCTTGAGGATCAGAGCGTTTACTGAAGCCATTGAGTCTTCTTCAGTTCCGAATCCGTTATATTTTGGTACAGGCTGGTACTTCAGGTTCTTCCTGGGATTCTTGACTTTGAGAGGAACCTGGTCGATATTTTCATTATCCTTGAACCATTGGGTTGTGTAAGCATCACAGCTGATCAGCAGAATGTCTCTGCTATAAACCTTGATGACGTTTCCGACGATTAAGTCGGTTGGGAGATAATAATCTTCTTTTCTCAGCGACATGCTTGGGTAGTGAGTCAGCACTGGCTCCTTTGGAACTTTCATACGCTTGAGAAGCATCGGGAAATCATCAATTCCTGAGTTGGCAACTCTGACTTCTTTGACTTCCATGGTCTGGTCGGAGAGAAAATAATTTAGGATGTACTGCTTTTCTCCTCCGTCATAAGAAGTGTCGTCCCATAGCACTCTGAAGCTCAGAACTTTTCTGTCGTTTTCAAGGTAGCTTGCAAGCTTCTTGTTTGGTTTTCCTCCCTTGAGCTTGACTTCGAAATATTCCTTAGTCTCAGCCAAGTCCGGTGGATTCTGCTTCATGTTAATCATTTTCCTGGTCATCTTGAAGTTGTCATCTGGAGCTCCTTCACATGGAGACAGAGGGTGTCCAGCACTTGCACAATACTCTGCAGTGAAGGCATCATATGAGACCAGCTTGTAGACTCTTCCATAGACTTCGATCTCTTTGCCAGCGTCAAGATCGGTCCAGTGGTATACGCCTCCATCTGGCTTAGGGAACGCATGCCTCTTCAAGAAGACTCCTTGAGGAATTCCTGCGTTCTCGACTCTTGGCTCGGTGATGTACATGGTGTGATCATCGAGGTAATAATAAAATACACATTTTCTGATTCTAAAATTCTCATCGGGGTTTTCTACAACGTGTTCCTGGAAATAGCCATTGAACTGGAGTACCTTTTTGTCGTTCTGGAGCCAAGCTGGAGGCTTTCTAGGAAGGCTGGAAGTCCCTAGAGGAGGCCTGGATGGGAGTCCTGTGTGCCTTAGAAGATTTGTTTCCTTCATTGTCTGGAGTTTGGCTTCATCTTTATCATCATCAGTTGGAACAATCCGCTCTCAGAGAGTTCCATCTTTGACCCCCAACAGCTGGCTCTTATGGTACTTCGTGACGGTTGGGTCTTGCTGGGTATTTCCAGGCAAGAACGGCAAAGTCGATGGCAGATGCGTCTTGGTAGTCTCCATTTAAAAATTTTATTTTAAAATATATGAATTTTTATATTTTGAAATAATTTTATGGGGTTTTGGGGTTTTGGGGTTTTGGGGTTTTGGGGTTTTGGGG